CTCTTCCTGTTATCGGGTCGCACTTGCACGACACACCGTAGTCGAATATTGCTTATCGCTCGCCTCCTATCTCTCGGTTTTTTCGCAGCTCCACTTCGGAATCCGGCTTACGCTCGCAGTTTTCGCCGGCGAGTATACACCAGCGCGACAAAATTTCTTCGGCACGCGCGTAAATACGCCGCGACAGCAGGAACGCGCTGTTCGGCCGCTGCGCGACGACCGAACTTCCCATCTCTGCGATTCTTGTAACAAGCCGTTCCCCCGACGACAACGACGACGACGACGACGATGTAGAACCTGCCGACGTTGGCAGCGTAAATTCGGGAAAAGTTCGCGCGTTTCGCTTTACGTATGTGGCCCGTTACGTGCGCTGCATGCGTGGCAAATAGTCCGGCGAGAGCCGCCTGTCGGATCTGTATGCGATGCGCTTTGGGTCATCGGTAACATATGCGACGCGCGATAAACATATACACATCCGCGCAAACGAACGTTCGCCAGATTTACGACGACATTGTCGCAATGATATAGACGTTAGCGGTGATGTAGAACGGGTCTTAAACAGACCCGGGAATCATTGGACCCTTCCATTCGAATAGTCGAGACTGAACTTTTAATCGATAATATAATTAGTAGTAGGAGCTAGTCGCTGAATGTCAGCACGAATAATTTTCAAACATATAAACAGAGAATTTATTTATAGAAAATTATAGTTTTTTCTTATATAAATTCCTTTCAATTTTATTATATGTTTTTTGTAGAGCAGGAATAAATTGTCAGTAGTATTCGTCTCTTGTTAGAAACAGCATATTTCTTAACAGCACATTTCAGTTCCTGAAATGTAACTAGTGCGTGTGAGATAGTTAATTATTGTAGAATGTCAATCCTCGGTTACAAAACTTTATAGTAATTTTTGCATGCAAATTTGCTATAAAGTTTACTGTAAAAATTTATTTTGTGCGCTTCAATGATACAAACGATTACTTATTGCCGTTCTCGCCATGTTGAGTCTTAAACAAGCTCATTTCAGAATTATTCAATCTTCGACTATTCCAATATTCCACCAGTATTTGATTTTTATTCTTAAATTAAGTCGACAATGTAGCAATTATAGATAACATGACGCGTAATAAATAGGTAGGTTCAAATATATGGCTCGCTCATTCGTGCTCATTATATGTCCACTTGTTAACTTATAAGCGAAAAATATTCCTTTCTAAAATTGTGTCTAAAATACACGAGAACTGTATTAAAATTTCCGCGAAATTTCGTATGGCTCAGATTCGAACAGTACACACGGGAAGGACAACTTCGTGAGTGTAACTGAATTTTCTGGAAACCAGATAAAAAACTCGGTTGTAGGAACAAAAATTCCTGTAGGAGGTTTCTACTCCGGCAATTGCTCTCAGTTACCTCAACCTAGTTTTAACGCAGCTGAATGTTCAGACGAATGTTTTCGGTGACAGTAACAGAGATATTATTTTTCGTCAGCGAATTTTTCCTCTGGTTCCCACTCAGTTACACGAACTGAGATGCTTATTTCGTGCAAGGGGATTCGAATAGCTTGCATAGCTCTATCTTCAAGACAATAATGTAGAACTGATATTTCGACGGGAGTATAGCCAACTCTGGAGAGATCGAATCGAAATCGCGAATTGCTACTGATTTTCTCCTGAGGATCTTCTCCTCAGAGGTCTTTACTTTCTCGCGTGTTCGTGGAGAGCCGCGCTAAATAAAGTTACTCGGACGGTATTAGGCCTCATCTCCGTTTACCTTTCGGAAGCCGGAAGGAAGGCCGAAGGAATTCGAGGACAGTAGCCTAATTTACGAGACGGCTTTACGTCCCGGCGGGAAACTCGAAAATGACTCGACGTAATCCTCGTAAATTTCGCGAAGCACCGTCGAAAAAGGAAAACAAAGGGAGAATCTCGATGGGGTTTCTCTCTTCTGCCTACTTATCAGCCGCAGACGCTGCCGACTCCCGCGGGGATGATTTTTCTCTCTCTGGACAAAAGAGTAAAATTTTTACGAGCCCCGCGGCCATTGGGCGTCGGGAAAATCGAATAAACCCTCTGACTGGAGCTCGTGATTAGATGGAATCGAATCCTAGGCTGCCTTTCGTCGCCCGTAACAGCTCTAGAATTGCGGGAAACAGATTCGGGATTTTGGTATCTACGTAATAACAGTAATACTGCCCATCAAACGATCAAGCAGTTTTCTTTTAATTTCGATTGCGTAGAGTAAATAAAAAATAAAAGGGGGAAAAATAAACATCTGTTTTTATTTTCGAATTCCGATTAAGATATACAGGGTGTTGAAAAATAACATTGTACAAATTTATCTATGTATTCCTCAGACAATTCTAAGAACAAAAGTTCATATAAACATATATCCGAAACGGGATAGTTTTTTAGATAGAGGGATTTGAAAATTGCAATTTTTTTTTATAACGATAATAACTTGAAAATTAATGACAATAATTAAATAAAATTTGACACATGTCTGTGCTTAAATAAATCCTTCTGAAAATGCCAAAAAAGTTTTTGAACAAAAACTAGAAATAAGGATAATAAAAAAAGCGTGAGGTAGTTTTAACCCTATCTTTGTGAAAAGAAACAAAATTCTGTTTGAATACCAGATTTTAAAAATTCAATGTTTTTAAGACAATTTATTATTATTATTATTTATATATTATATTATTACAAAAAAATTGCAATTTTCAAAGCCCTCTATTTCAAAAACTGCCGTTTCAGACACGTTTATATAAACTTTTGTTCTTAAAATTGTCTGAGAAACACGTAGATAAATTTGTGCCACGTTGTTTTTCAACATGAATTTAGATGCACTGAGAGAAAAAAGAGAGAAAAAGACACTTAAGTATTTATTTATATAAAGTTTATTTATACACACACACACACACACACACACACAGAGAGAGACAAATTTTATTTCGCAGAAACAACTTTATATCCTATAAATAAATATTTAAGTGTTTTTCTCTCAGTGTATTGTTGAAAATAACTTTTAGCGATTGGTCTGTTCATTTTTTACATAAACAGTCTTTGCAAGAGGCTGAATATATTATCGAAATAATAATGCCGACCTTTGATCTTTGATTGCTGGCTGCACCGACAACACAGTTTGTCAAGTAAACCTCGTGAAACATTGATTGCTCCGTTAAAGTGACTGCACACAGAGCTGAAAGCTCTACGGGGTGATCTTTTCGATTCGGTTGTAATTTCCGCTTTTTCGTGTGTATACGCGAACAGTAATGAAGCTCTGTGGTTTCCTACATGTATTTCATTGTATTATATACGCGGGTAGGTATATACGTCCGCGCACCGACCGCGGGTCAAACGTCACAAAGTACGCTATTTCTGGAGCAGTGCTTATCGTACTTCGCTCTAACCCCGATTTCCACGCTGCGATACGATACGCACACATCACGCGAGACCGCGCTCTCGCAATTTCACCTTACGTATATCAATGCGATCTCGAGCTGACACCTCGGGAGTTTATAATTCCAGTAACGCGCGCGCAGCCCCTCGATATCAAAATGATGAGAACGATACATGCCTGAGGAACGCGGGAATTTTCGAGAACAGCCAAAATCCTGCGAAATAGAATTACACTCCCTATAAATTCCTTGGAGTAAGATTTCACTAGAAAATTCATTCAAACTGAAATTGTGCCACTCGAAATCGCAAGAGTTAACGTTTAACTTGAACTTGGAGTAAATTCTAATGAACTTTAATAACCAATTAACTTTTATAATAAACTCTTATGATAAAATAATTCTTATAACAATATAACTGTTTTAATGATTTCTAGTAACGTACAGTCGGAGACTAAAGTATTGTCCGTAATTTTTTAAGTGAATTTGTGGATTCATTCTTGTTGTCCAACGAAAGTATTCTCCCTTTGGAAAACGAATTCTCTCATTGGACAAAATGGGGAGTTTACAAACTTACTCCAAAAATTACGGATGGATAAATTTTAGTCTCCGACTATACTTGGGATACTTGTCGCAACGACAACACGTCGCTATTTTTTATTATTAATTTAAGAAACGAGAGAGAATTTTTCTCTGCATTAATTTACAGTGATGAATAACGCGTAGCTAGTAATATAGCTGATCGATCTATCGAACATGGATATATCGATCTATCGAATGATGCGACCCTCTCGCGGTATAGAGGGCGTCGTTGGAGCGTAGAAGCGCGCCACCGTTTTATGTCTTGGCGCGCGCGTTACGTGAGAAGTTGCGCGTGCATCGTCGATTTTACGTCAAGCAGTTTATCGACCGACATCGGTCTGTGCGTCTTTTGCCCGTCGGAAGTGAGTCTTCTGCGCGGAAGCAAGTGTCGAAGATGTCGAAAAAACAATGTGCGATCGTCGGGACATATCGTAAGGACGTTATTAGTAAGTAGTCTCCTCGCTTTTTCGTAGATGCAACCAATGGCTGCGTTCAGCAGAGAAAACTGTTTTGCAACTGTTATAAAATTCGTGAATCTGATTGGTACATGCTCTTGGATTCAACCAAAATTAAGAGCATGCTCTTGGATTCAAGCAAAAGAGCATACTCTAATCAGATTCACGAATTTTACAACAGTTGCAAAGCAGCTTTCGCTGAATGCAGCTAATGCTTGTCGCGACGTGTCGAGCCTCTTACACTTGCCGTTACCGTCGAGTCACTCGCAAGCTGTGATAAAATTGTCAGACTTATCCGACAGTCCGTCAGATACCAGAGAGAGAGAGAGAGAGAGAGAGAGAGAGAGAGAGAGAGAGAGATTCGGTGATAATCAGAAGGATAGATAGATAATATGACGACCCAGAGCACAACTCTAGATAACCTCGTGAAATTCCTCATCGACTTTGTCGCTTCATTTACTCGTGATTCGAGCAGCATCGTGACGCGAGGCGGCGCTGTACCGCGGCGACGTGTGCGAACGAGTTCTCCTCGGCGCGTTCGTCCTCTTTATGATCCACGTTGTCGTTTGCAGGAAGTGCCGTATGTGCGTGAAGCTCGTTGGTTCGCGCCGCGTCCGCTTGTCTGCCTTTCATGTCCCAAATAAAACTACCGGCAGCCACCCAAAATCACCCAACGGATACATCGACAGCGGTGCTCGTGTAACGAAGCTGCGTCGGACTAGAACGGGCATCGAGGGAAAGTGCGATCACTCGGCATGAAGGGTGAGTCCATTTTCCCAATTCGCCGGGCCCAATTTGTCGGGCCAATTTGTCGTTTGTTATTCATGAGACGTAATTCAGGTGATCTCCGACAGTTCGCAATCGCCCGTCGTGGCCCCAAGCCAGCAACAAGCGTCGCGAAATCGTCCCGTCTGTCTTGACATTTGTCGAACTGTTCGCCGAATTTCACGACGGTCCCGGACATTCGAACGGACGGTCGGTGGATTCCGTCCGTGAAAAATGACATTTTTGACCGGGAACGATTTAGTAGGCCTCCGAGGCCGACATTTTGTTTTTGTCGCTGTTGTCCGGTAACAGATGGTGCACGCAGTTGAGCAGCGAGACAAGCAATCAAAAGCACACTCGAGCACTTTGTCGATGTAACCGCGTAGCTCCCAGGAGTCATGCGTGAGCGCGAAACGGACGCGCGTCGCGGAATGATCGCGCGCCGTCGATGCGAACGCAGCCCGCTTGCTTGTTTTATGGACGTTCCATTTGATGAATTACATCGCGTGACGATCCATTTTTCGTGCAAATAAATTTCGCGGTGCGCGATTTAATAACACGCGCGATGATAAAAATCTTTGTCCGCGCGCGGTGTCGCGTCGCGACTCGAAAAATCCGTCACACGCCTCTCTGTCGCGTGTTTGTTGACTCTGTGCGTCCGCGTCGGAAAGGGGCAGCAGATCGAGAACGTACGCGAGATTTTAATCGTGTAAAGCTTATCGTGTGTATCGGACGATTTTGCCTGAAATTTTCTCCGTTTCTCTCGACTCGTCGTCGTCGTGCCAAACGGTTGCAGTGTATCCGTTATGACGGGACAAAATTCCGCGCGACGACGCACAGTAATGAAAGGGTAGTATCGATTACGAAGCGGACATTCGCGCGCATCACTTAATTATCGGAATTATGTTTGGAGCGTGCTACCGAAATATCAATCCAAATGCGGGAGAAGCGTCACCTGTTCACGGTTTATACCGTACAGATCCTTGAATCAGAGACTGGCCATAAGAATGCTTCTGTCAAAGTCGTGCCAGAGAGAGAAGGTGAAATATTCCTTATCTCACTACTCAACCTAGCCTTGCTCTGACGTGCTCATGTATACGCATGACGTTGTCATGCTGTGAAATTTGTTACTACAAGTATCAGTATTGTAAAATTGGGACGTTTTCACAGAAATAAATGAGTACTCATCAGTGAAATAATCCTTTTACTGATTCAATTAGAAACATTTTTACTGATTCACTTTAAAAGAGTACACTACCGGAATTTATCAGAAAAATGGTTAAATATGCCGTGCACCATTCTGTAATAATTTATTAACGGGAGGCTATACGGTAAAGGTATTTCCAAGAGATCCTGAACGCTGGCTCCTATGACCACAGGAATTATCCACGTAGAAAAAAGCATTAAATAGATTTTTTACATATTACTTTGGTGTTTTATATGACAAAAAAATATTCAATTTTCTTGAAACGTTTATCGCTTATATTTGTCTTGTTAAAATACATGAACTATTAAATTGAACTATTACACACAACAAATATTATATTGAAACAAAGCTCTCGTAAGATTATTGTGGTTTGAATATGAACGGGAGTTGGCAGAACATGGTGGACCAACCGAAACGCGTTGCACCTCGAGACCAGTCTCTGATTCAAAGGCTTAGCTCGCACTTGTCCTGCGGTGGCTTAGGCGTTTCCCGCGCTCGGAAGTATGTATCAAAGTCCCGGCAACTCGCGCAGGAAGTATATATCAAAGCGAGTTCATGAAAATTTCCGGAATTTCGCGTCGCCTCCTTGCGAAAAGCGCGGCCAAGCCTTTGCCTGGCGGCGGGCATTACGCGGCCATAGAGTAACAGCTGTTTTACATAACCCAATTAGCCGACGACGTGTGCGCATGCACACACACACACACACACACACACGCACACGTTGCGGAATTAAAATCAACATCACGCCGACACGACGCCGTTGAAAATCGCCGCTGATGCGTCGATCTTTAACCTCGCGCTCGACGTTTTTCGCGTTATGACGCGCGATCACCCTTGCTTGATTTTCAAACAGATTAAAAATCTGGCCGGTCGCCGTCTGCGATATTATCCGGCAATTTGTAGAGATCGTCCGCCAGGGCTCGCTAATTAAGAAGCGAGCTACGACTTGTCATTCATTATTCATAAACCGTGAGCCGTCCAAGCGGCGCGGTAGGCTTTATTAAAACGTCAGTTCGCGAGAGCAATTTGCTAACGCGACGCTAATTAGCAGCCGACGGCTGTGTTGTATGCCCCGTGGGCGGAAGAGTCAACAGGCGAGCGGATCGGGAATTTTACCTGTAATAAAACATGTCTACGTGATAGGTCGAGGTGAGCGCGTCACACGCGTTCACGGATATCATTCGCTCTAGCGTGCTGAGAAAATGAATAATTTTACCTCGGACATGCCACGTGAAATTAGATTGTTTGCGCACGCCTTCGTCGAGCGGGAAATGTTAGAGTTACGGTCGCATGTATGCGAATTCGACTGTTTTGCTGTTTCCAACAATTAAATTTCCTCCACGTAGGACAGTAACCTCTGTTACATTTCGAGATTCTTCACTGAATTCTTCAAACTCAGTGGTGTGTTCGCGCGATTAATGTAGCGGTAAAATTTTGGCTAGGGACACACTGAGAGAAATCCCTCGGGTATCGGAACAAAAACTTACTGCTTGATAATCGTTAGGGAAATAGATCGAACGGTCAACTTGCTCTACTCAAACTAAGTTAGTCATGTCTCCATTACAGAAGCATTAGAACAGCAAATTGAAAGCAACAAATCATTTGTACCCACTCCACAGGGTCATTTGCTATCCCATGTCAACGAGCCATTTGTCGCGGATGTTGGCGTCTTGTTAAATTAGCAAAACCTTTTCTCTCGTTGCACGGCTGGTGTCGGCAAACAACAGCGGCGGACATGCGTTCGCGCAATCACGTACATGCGACGTGTCGTCGGAATAATCGAATATGAAGTAATTGGCACGATCGCAGTCGCGTCCCGGAAGCGTATTAATCGAATCTTGCCCCTGCCCGTTATAATTAAGATCCTCCGCGTTCTCATCGGCCCCACGTGGCGTATTCGCAAAATTCGGGACCAGTTTGGAATTAGCTGACGAGTCGGTGGCTCCTTACAAAATCTGCCTGCTGAATCTTTGAGACACTTAAACAATAATGTCGCTTTCTCGATGTACATACGATGGCGAACTTTTCTTAAGGAAGCATTAAAATATTTAAAAGTTCGATTACTTTTATATTCTATCTGTATTCAGTATTTATTTGCTTACCTCGCACACTGTATTTGCGAATGAACATATTATGGTTACTAATTAATGGCTGGATTTAGGAATAAATGTAGATTGAATATTTGGAGATAGTCGAAAATCGAATAATTCTGAAAAAAGCTTTTTTAAAACTTAATATGGAGAAAACGACAAATAACCATATCTATCATTGACGTGCAAGGAGAGAATTTTTATAGTAAATACTTTTATAGTAGAAATTATCATATAGAATTTTATAAACGAGGAATAGATTGACATTCAGTAGACTATCCTTTTGTTTTTTATGTGCTATTAAAATATTTGCTGTTTCTGAAATGTACTACGTTTAAAGTTTTGAAATTTACTATTTCTTTAGCATAGTAAGTCTTTTACTGATCTTTTACTGATTTTACAATGTATTCCTCTATTACTAGAAACCTAGTAGAACTGGAAAGAATTTATATAAAGCAAGAACTGCAATATTCTCTCCGTGTGCAACAACTTGCGCCAAGTACAATTTCGAGATTCTTCTCATTAATCCTTAAAACTTGAAATTTGTATAATTAACCCAAGAACTTTAAACATCAAAAAGTTACGTAAATCCTAAACATGGATAAATTTCACACACACACACGCACATACATCGTGTTTTTATTTTCTCGTAACGTCCCTAAAAATACTAAAAATGCAAACTTTGATATTTTTTTAATCGGTATAGAAAGCATCGAGTAATATAAATCTATAAACGTTTTTCAACGAAGTTGAGAGAAGTTATAATGAAAAAATAAAACGCATATTTTTGAGAACAGTTTGAAAAGTCAATTTGATAAAACAAATTTTACCTGTGGTTTTAAGGTTCATACAAACCTAAAATTTCTACTCGATTACAAAAGCGGGAATTTCGCGAATTTTTCGCGAATGATAAAGCGAACGTGGTACTTTGAAAATAAACGCGAGCGAACGAGTACAAAACATATCGGAAACTAATTACCCTTCGAATCGAAAGCAAGGCAGTTTGGCAGTCGAGTCGATTAGATTCCTACGAAATTGCATCGCCATGTATCGCGATTAGCTTTCAGCTATCTCAACCGGGCGCAGGCTGAGCCGCCGATGCGAAGTGCAAATGCGACTGATCCCACGATTAACTGTCACCCTTATGCGACGCGGTTATTTGTGTGCGTAAGTGTATGCGCGTCCGCGACACAGACGGCATATTGCGCGATCGCAAATCCGATAGTGAATTATCCCGGCGATAGCGGGACTCGCTACGGCTCGCGCGCGTATCGCTCATAAATCGCCTCGTCTGCTCTCGCTGTCGCGATAGGAATGCGCCCGTAAAGCCAAATTAACGTCGCGCGGATTCTTTTCGGTAGATTCTGATCGCGCGCAATGTAACGTGCGTAACGTGTCCCACGCACAGGTGTATCGTCGTAAAACACGCCCAAAATCCGCTTTCGTTCATGAGTGCCGATCCGTCGCACAATCGTTTCTCGGCGCGAGCTTCATTCGTGAGAGATTTCGCGATCGGCGCTGTCGTAAGCGCCAATTGAAGCGCCCACGAGCAACGAGCTTGATTCAAGATTAATCGAGCCTGGTCGCTTAACACGTTGAACGCCGCGCTATGATTCGCCATTAATTGTACAAAAGTCCGAAAACGATACTTTAATTACTGAGGACACGATATTACCAAAGATCACTGCACTGAGAGAAGT